GACGTGATTTCCACTTTGAAGAGCTTCAGGTCTATGGAGGTGGACATCTAGCAGTGCTTACCGAACCGGTCGGCGAGAAGGCGTCGTTATTTTTCCTTCATATGATTGGAGATCGTACCGGTACACTACACGTATCGAACAATCAAACCATGGACTTACATCGACCCGAAATAGACATTCCATTCAGTGCGCACGTTTATGCTGGTGGTTATCTTGGGCTTGCTCCATACACCGAAGTTCACGGCGTGACATTGTTCATTTCCGGCACAGTAGATCACATTCAGAACATGACAATACATCACGGGGGCGCATTTTGGATGTATCACGGGGGAAACACAGCGAATCAAACGAACAGTTCCTTTGAGTTTGATACAGTCCGAGTGCAGGATAATGGTGTTCTGCAAGCCATAACTTCTCCTATCATTCATCCAGGAATCACAATCATAGCCAGGGCGTTTTTCGTTGAGGGAGGCGGGCTTTTCCATGGCACAAAGATGACTGTATTGGGGGAGAATATCACTATTGATGACGGAGGACTGATCTCCGCAGATGGCCAGGGCTACAACAGGTACGAATCTTTTGCAAAAGCAAAAGTATAGCACTAGTTACTGAGGTGTGGTATGCATAATCCTTGCTGCAATGTTTTTCCTTGCCCCAATAACACAGTTATCTATCGTGGTTGATTAAGTAAGCTAGATATTGCTCAGTTATGGTTACATCTATGTGGAAAATAATTTATCAATTCATAATTTTCCTTTTGTTTTTTGCTTTGGTTTCAAAAGCAGTTGATCACTAACGATTCCGTCAATTAAAGAGGATAATTTGTTATGTTGCAGTCGACTTGCCTCTAAATCTCGAAAACTTGTCGTATTACACAAAATCATCAAGTAAAGGATTATGGAAAATTGTGATCTGCAATTATGTCCTTAATGTAACGAGGATGTTATCGAAATATTTGAAAACAAAAGCAAACGCGGTTAACTTCTGACTTTTTTCCACCTGTTGTTTTCAGGACGCATCCACAAGGATCAGGTCTCCACGGCGTTATTAACCCAGGTATAGGTTCCTCCCATATCTATGGTTCCTCTGGGGCTGGCTGTGGTGGGAGAGGCGGAAGAGGCCGTCACACCGCTGTTGTCGGAGCTGCTTATGGGGACATATACGAACCTGTCCGATTTGGAAGCTCAGGCGGAGGAGACAAATCGGGAAGAGGTGGTGGGGTGATTTGGTTTAACGTCACTAATGTCATTCAAATAGATGGAGAGGTATCTGCGGATGGACGTAAAGGCGATAACTCTGGTAGCGGAGGAGGAAGTGGAGGAAGTATCTGGATGCATTGTTACCGGATGAAAGGTATTTGCATTTATTTAGTACACTGGACAAAACTGTTCTGGATCGACGTTTTACAACAAATAATTAAAACAAGGAAAGTGACGAGAAAAATGTTTGCCATTGTTTTAAGCTGATATAAATTCCACAAATGGAAAATAATTTTATAAGGATAACGCGATGAGGACTTACGTTACAGCACCTCCAAATTTGGTTACTATATCACAAAAGTACGAGAAATCACTTGGTTTCTGAGAAAAAGGTTTTACTTTCAAAGAGCTTTTTTGGCGAAGATCATTGTTACGTGTATGAGGATTTTAAAATGCGATATAGTGTCTTCTGATATTCGTCTTTTTAAAACTCTTCTTGCCACTGGATCGGTCTTCTAACTGTTTTAAAGATGGCTGCCTGAAGCTCGCGCTTCGTACTAGCCTCGAAATGCTGCAGTGTTAAGGCGTAGTCGGCCAAGAACTGCTATCCGTGTTGCTCAGAAGGTTGTTGCATCATATTTCTAGTCTTGCCTTCCGGGAGCTTGCCCTTTTCTCACACCGTCTTGCATAAGGGCTTGAAATAATTCTGTTGGGTTTGCCTCGTGGCATTACAACACGTTCGTGTACTTTTGTGCGTAACCGAGGTAAAAACGGCTTTCCGAAACTTTTTTGAGGTACAGTGCGATATTTCTTCCTCTTTTGTCTGAAAGAGGGATCATTCAAATCCCCTTTTTTAAAAGGTATCACAGCTTAAAGTTGTAAAATTTTAACAGAAAAACAGTGACACATTTAAATATTTCTCAGGAAGAAACATTTTGCTGGAAAGGCGAGAATTTTGGTGCCAACCGGTGTTTGCGGACGCGTCTCTTTCCCCGTCATTTTTGCAACCTTATGACTTACTTTTATTGGGAAACATTTTCTATGTGTGAAATTTGATAAAGGCAAAAGTCATTCAGGGTCCTTTTCTTATTCTATTTAACAATTATTCCCCGAAGGCGAGGTGAATATCGTCGAATAATCCCCGAGACGAAGTCGAGGGGATTATTCGACAATATTCACCGAACCTGAGGCGAATAATTGTTTTAGTATAATTTCAGAGCTGAACAACAGAGAAATTTCTAAAATCATAACATTTTAGTAACATTTTTAAACATTTTATTTGAACATTTTATATAAACCGCGCGGAGCGGTTTATATAGCGTCATATAAAGAACCGCTCGACCAATCAGATAATCCATAACAGTTTTGTCGAGTGTACTAAGCTCTCCTAACATCCATCCCCTGAAAATGGGCTTTCCAGTTTCTCTCTTGTCTTTTTACAGGATGTTAAAGCATTAACTTTTGTGATAAAGTAATCTTCACAATGATTCCTTGTAGATTTGACTAGCCTTGATCTCAAGTTCAAAGTTTTTAAGTTGTTGAATGGTCAGTTTCAAATACATTCCGCATTATATTTAATGATTAACTCTGCAACCAGGACCACCGACTTTAGTCTTTAATTTACGTATTTGAAACTTAATGCACTATTATGTGAGCTAGTCGATATCAATTTCGCATTTTTCAAACTGTATTGATCCTCTTGTTACTTTCATACCAGGAAAGTCCTTTGACAAACTTCCTTCTTCGAATAAGTGTGTCCCCTCGTATTCTAGATTTGACCGAGGCGACCGGAGCGCTTGTTCTAGAATTTAAAATATGGCATCGTGCAAAACCTGTCAAGAACAAAAAACTATTTTTTTCTGCAAAAACGAAATCATGTCACTTCTGTCTTAAAGGTACTGGTGCTGTTACGGTCAACGGTGGTGCCGGCGGTGGGAGCTCTGGAGGTGGGGCTGGTGGAAGGATTGCTGTGTACTTTACTGAGAACACCACATACACGGGCTCCTTTCAGTCACGAGGAGGTGCAAAGGGCGGAGGGTCTAATACCGAGGCTGGCGGACCTGGAACAGCGTTCCTATATCATCTAGTGCATACTCATAGAACACTACTGGTAGACAACGGAGGTCAACATCCCCTCACTAAACGAATATCCGACTATTCAGATCTCTCGCAAGATGGAGGTCGTGCTTGGATCTTACCTGAATCAGGAGAGCATGATTTTGCTAATGGCTCTCACGAGTTTCACTTCGAAGAACTGCAGATTTATGGTGGTGCTCATTTGGCGATCTTGACGGAACCGGTGAATCGTGCGGCTTCATTGTTCTTTCGCTACATGATTGGCGACCGAACAGGAATGATTCACGTTAGCCAAAACCAAGTGATGGACCTGCATCGTCTGTTCTTGGATATCCCTTTCAGCGCGTACGTTTACGACGGTGGGTACCTTGGTCTTGCGCCCATCTCTGAAATGAACAAGATCGCTGTGCACATGGAGGGAACGCTTGATCACATTCGGAATCTCACCATTCTAAACGGTGGTGTGCTTCATTGTTACTTGACAGGCTCAACTGGAGAAAGAATGCAACGTCATTACATTTTTAACGAGACAGTCAGAATCATGGCGAGATCTCAAATCCAAAGCTACAGCCCCAACGCGCATAAAGAAGCATTCAGCCTCAAAGCCAGGATCCTTATGGTGGAAGGCGGGGCAGCAATTAACACTTTCAACATGAACATAACAGCTGTCAATCTTACCGTTGACGACGGTGGTTCTATTGATGCTAGCGATGGTGGTTACACAGCAGCAAGGGGGCCAGGAAGTTTGTTGACAAACAACTGGAGGCGTAGTGGCGCAGGACATGGCGGAACAGGTGGAAGGGGTAGTTGCGGGGGCTATCACACATGCCGGCTTAAGAAGGGACTACCGTATGGGAACTTGTATAATCCGAGGGATTTTGGAAGTGGTGGTGACGGTAATGGAGGCAAAGGTGGTGGCATTTTAAGTATTATCGTGGCGCATACCTTGCAGGTATTTGATTTCGTACTCTTAATTGTCCATACAAGCTATGACACTGAAAACCCCGTTTTGTTTCAAATTTATGTTTGTTATCGATGAATACAAACTGTGTAAATCGAATCAACCGAGTATGATTGCTCGGTGTCCACATTTCTCTTCCCCTTTGTAGTCTACATTTCCTCAGATACTCCATACGTTTTCCTTGTTCTGTTTGATTACGATACAGCTGGGATTCTTCCTGACTTCGTTGCCTCAAGGAGGCCTTGCTTAAGTGGCGATTAGAAAGAAACTGCCCTATTTTGATTGTCAGAATCGTATTACAAATGCTACAGTAAGAGGAAGCCAAACTCGTGAATAATCGCTCACGACATTCAGCGGTGTACTTGAACATGTCACTGGTGTTTTTCAGACGGTATAGTTCTTTACTTTGTTCTGGTATAACGTTTAGAAATATTTTCTTTTTCTTTCTCTCGCATCTAAAAGGTGGATGGAAGCATAATTTCAAATAGTCGAGCTGTCAATAATGATAATGGTGGCGGAAGCGGCGGAAGTATCCTAATCCGCGCCCAGGTCCTCTCAGGTGGTCATACTGGTCTTATACAATCTCGAGGTGGAAGTGGCACTGCGGGCTCGGGCGGTGGCTCGGGGGGTCGCATAGCAGTTTATTACAGCAACAATGACACACACCATCCATACAGGGGAAAATATGACACCAGTGGCGGTAGTGTCCAATCCGGCGCGGAGGCTGGTGCTTCTGGAACAGTATACCTTAGACACACCGGAAATGGATTCTCGACCCTTCAAGTGGACAACAATGGACAACAAGCTTTGGATGATGAGATTCCAAATGCAGGTGTCTTGTTAGATCTGTCTGGGGGCCGAGCAGACCAAAGCAGAACCTACAATGCGCCGAACGGAATGACAGTTACATCCAGCTGTTCGATTAGGTCACCTCTTTGTCACAACCCATGTTACAGCTGCCGCGACTACTCAATAGCAAACCTTTTTGACCAGACATTTTCCACGAGCAGCTGTGCTGGTTATTTCTTGTCTGGATGCCGTTACACGAAGCTGACGGTCGATTTAAAGAGCTTACTGTTTATCAACCACATAAGATTCTACCCATACTGCAGCGGATCTCGACCTAACTTCCGCGTAAGTAGAGTAAACGGTCTGTATTATCTTTTCGAACTCCAGGTGCTCTACCGAAAGGGAAAAACTGGCTACCAGTTTCAATAAAGTTATATGCCTTAATTTGTTACTTTTCTTTTTAAAATGTCTTTTTTCGCTTTCTCGAATTCTCAAGGTCACTACTAACGATGGCGTCCGAGACCTGCCAGTTACAAGTAACTACGTTCAAATGTCTAACGGCTGCATTCAGGGATCTTATGTTGATATGCCGGTGAGAAGAAAGGCAACTCATATATATGTGGAACTAAACCATCCCACCAGTAACACGTATGTTGGCCTCTCTGAATTGGAAGTATTTATTGATGGAAAAGAGGTTTGGGACAGGTTAGTAATAACTTAGCAGAAACATTTATTGTTTGGGCCGTTGATTTTTCTGTTGGTGGTGAAAAAACATGCGTAGAAGTGTAGCCTAAATGTGAAACTGTCGGGGGGTGAATACTGTTTGTTGCATGGACGGGGGACGATGAAGAGGGAAGTGGAAGAGAATTTTTCTTAGCTATAACGACCTCATCACACAGGTTCCCTCCGTATTTCTCTCCACCCCCTTTGTATGCCACTGGGCTTGTCGAATGGCAAAACTCATTTTTTACATTACATTTATACAGTTAGTTGTGTAACAGCTTTAGGACTTGCGATGCTAGGCCAAGTGCGTTTTCATTATTTAGCAATCTTTTCAGTAATATACGAGTCTGGCCGCTGACAAATTAACCCATAAGCGCAGTTAGCGCGAGAAGGCTGAAATAGCTTTGCAGATACGTTCGTAAGATTCAGACTCACATTTTGCTCTTTAAGATAACATTTTTGAGTCATTATAGGGCAATAAGACTATTAAATAAACATGGTTTAGTGGATCTTGTGCTCACTCTTTTTCCAACAACCAGGTACAAGTACAGGAGTTTCGATGGCGCCAAAACTTGGATTGAACCGGAAACCGGCGCTGATGTCTACAGCTTCAATGAGGTTCATATCCGGGGATCTGCTCAGCTTGCTCTGATGCCGCTGAATGGTTTGCAAGGTCCTGCACATTTTCATGCAGACAGGTTGTACGGAGACAAGAGTGGTTTCCTGCATGTAGGATACAATCAAAATTTTTCTGTGGCAGTTACCGATCCCGACATTCCATTTGGTCTACGTGTTTATGAAAACGGAAGCATCATGCTACCGAGGCGAGCCTTTTTGCAAACAGTCAGCTTCAAGTCATCAGGAAAGGTGTGCATGCTGTCTTCCTTAGAAATATTTTTCCTCTTTGGGGCACCCATGAAATAGCATTTAGCACTCATTTAGCACTCAGTTTTCCTAACAATGGAATCTCTCAGCTAAAATTACATAAGCTTCTTTTCTTTAACTGCGGTGCAATTCGTTGTAATGCTGGAATTATCGAAATCCTTCTTGTGAACAGTTTTTTTTCAATATTATTATTTTAATGCTTCAGATCTTCAGTATATATAATTTATTCTTAGAAGAAAAATGTGATCGCTTGTCTCACGATGTGGTCATTTGGGATGTGGGTCGCGACGTTTTGACTGCATACTGCTAGTCTTCCGACTAGCAGTATGCATTCAGTATGCAGTCAGTATGCAGTCAGTATGCAGTCAGTATGCAGTCAGTATGCAGTCAGTATGCAGTCAGTATGCAGTCAGTATGCAGTCAGTATGCAGTCAGTATGCAGTCAGTATGCAGTCAGCCTTTTGTTTTTTGCTTTGGTTT